CTCAAACACTCTGCATGCCCTGGTTTTCACAAAAAAAGTGGGCTGCTTTTTGCTAGTTTTTGCCCCCCCCCCCGCCCCCCGGGGGACTTTGCCCGCCTCCCAAACACTCTGCCAGCCCCGTTTTTCACAAAAAAATGAGACATGCAGAGGGTTTGGGAGGCCTGCAGAGTGCAAAAACTTTTTTAAAAAATTGACCTCTTCAAAATCATGGTGCTTCATACTCCAAAAAATATGGTAACTAGTACAATTGAGCAAGATTACAATTCCATTTGTCTACTAGTTTCTCTCTCTCTCTATATATATTTTGAGCCTATAAGCTTATATAGCTTCTATTAATTACCTGATTAATTCATCACCTTAAAAATATCATTGGTGGACCAAGAAAATTGGACTATTTGTCACTGCCTTGTATCACGGCTCCTGATAGGAGCTTCTACAATAGCGGTGTCAAACTCGATTTCATTGAGGGCCTCATCGGGGTTGTGTTTGACCTCGGGGAGCCAGGGTGGACATGGCCAGGGTGGGCGTGGCCAGCTCATCACTTGTGTTGTGGGTGCCTGTGGTAGACCGAGCGCTCTGCCGGCAAAAATGGGCTCCTGAGCGCCATTTTCGGCTGCGACAGCCTCCTGCAACCTTCTGACAGTGAAAACGGAGCTCAGGAGGGCTGCCCGTGGAGTTTCTGAGCTTCGTTTTTGCTGGCAGAGGCACCGCAGGCTGGTCCTTCGCTGTTTCCAGGGCAGCCCTGCGGGCCAGGTCCAAGCATCCCGTGGGCCGCATCCGGCCCCTGGGCCTTGAGTTTGACACCCCTGTGCTACAAGAAAGTTTCTAACTGCACACTCCTTAACACAAGGATGTATTGCTACTATTAACCACAGTGCCATAGGACTCTTCGCAATTTGGAGAAGACTGGTAGATGACAGTTACAGATAAGGGGGTAAGAGGCCTCCAAATACAATGCTGTATTCCCTGCCCCATAACTGAATAGCCGTTCCTGTCCAGGAATGCAAGGTCACTTATGGCCCGTGAAAAACTGACGCGTCTTGTGTTCCCACAATGTTTTCTAACCACAGACTAAATGGGAGCTCTACAAATATAGTCTATTATACAAATAGACTCCTGCTAAATTAGCTTTTTGTTCACTGCGCTCACAGCACTGAATTTGGTTTTATAGATCTCGAGAACAATACTGTTAAGTGTTTTAGTATTTTAAGAAAAAAAAAAGAATGGTGAAGACATAAGAAAAAGTATTTCTTCCATAGAGAAAGATTACAACGTGCTTAAAGATACAATTATTAAAAACAACTTTGCTGGAAAGAGGCTGACATGAAGCTGGAAGTTAGTACATTATTATTGTTATTTATCCATGTTATTTATTTATTTTCAGCACCTATATATACATATATATGTATGTATGTATGTGTATATGTATATGTATATGTATATGTATATGTATATGTATATGTATGTATGTATGTATGTATATATATATATATATATATATATATATATATATATATATANATCTATCTATCTATCATCTTCTGAAACTCAAAGACTTTGGCCACCTGATGTGAAGGAAGGACTCCCTGGAGAAGAGCCTCATGCTGGGAATGACTGAGGGCAAAAGAAGAAGGGGACGACAGAGAAGGAGGAGGCTGGATGGAGTCACCAAAGCAGTCGGCCTGAACTTAAGTGGACTCCAGAGGATGGTAGAGGACAGGAAGGCCTGGAGGAACATTGTCCACGGGGTCGCGATGGGTTGGACATGACTTCAAAACTAACAACAATATGGCATTATTTTCAAATAATAAAGGTTGGGGAGGGAGAGGTCAGTGAGCCATTAGAAGGGTCTTTTGTGAAGAGTTTTGGATGAGCTAAAGAATGGGGGACCACCACCACCCCCCGTGTTAAACCAAAACGGTCCCGAATTTTACTCCTGCAAGGAGAGGCAGGAATGATGGGGATGGGAAGTGGTCTCTGAGTTGTAGACGTTTCCTGTCTCAAAGTAGATAATATCACCCGTGGTAGGAGGAGGAGGGGTTTGTTCAAGGTTTATATGCCGTATAATTCCACTCCCTTCAAACACTGATGGTGTTACCCAGTTTGGTAATGAGACGTCTGCAAGAAAACCACCAAGCTCCAAGAACACCAAGGACCCCACATTCCTCCTCTTCCACTCCACAAACTCCGCTCCCTTCTAGCACTGATGAGGTTACCTAGTTGGGTAATGAAATGTCTGTGGGGGGAGCACCCACAACTTCTGGAGGCAAGCAGTTCCACTGGTTGTTAAGAATTGCTAATTGCTTTCAATTGTTCACTGGTTTATTGTTAGCAACTGTTAATCGGTTCATTAACTGGTTAATTATTTACAATTAACAGGTTGTTAACCATTATCAACTGGTTAATCATTATTAACTGGTTCATTAACCAGTTATTTACTATTAATAGTAAACCAATTATTTACTATTAATAGTAAACCAGTTATTTACTATTATTGTTCACCATTATTAGCCGGTTCATTAACCACTTCATTAACCATTATTAACTGGTTAATTATTTACCATTAACTGGTTAAATAACCAGTTCTTTTAATCAGTTCTTTGTTATCCATTATTAACTGGTTTACTATTTGCTATTATTAACCAGTTAATTGTTCACTATTATTATCCAGTTAATTACCCATTATTAACCAGTTCATTACCCATTATTAACCAGTTGATTAACCATTAACCAGTTGATTAAACATTATTAACCAGTTCATTAATCATTGTTTACCATTAACTGACTCATTGCTCACCATTATTAACCAGTTAATTACCCATTATTAACTGGTTAATTACCCATTATTAACCGGTTAATTACCCATTATTAACCAGTTGGTTAAACATTCTTAACCAGTTCATTAATCATTATTTACCACTAACTGACTCATTGCTCACCATTATTAACCGGTTAATTACCTATTATTAACCGGTTAATTATCCATTATTAACCAGTTGATTAACCCTTATTAAGCAGTTCATCAATCATTATTTACTATTAACCGGTTCATCCCCACCTCCAACCCACTCCCGGGGGCTCCCCCTCCCTCTCCGCCCCCCCCGTTCACCTACCTATGCCCAGCCCGACCACCAAGCGGCCCCCCAGCAGCGTCTCCTTGTCGGGCGCGGCGGCCAGCAGGACGGCGCCGGCGGTGAAGAGCAGGCTGGCCAGGAGGATGCAGGCGCGGCGCCCCCAGTATCCGTTCAAGGCGCCGCCCAGCAGCGCGGCCAAGGCGGCGGCGCCCACCGTGCTGGAGACCAGCAGCTCCTGCCAGGTGGCGTCCAGCCGCAGCTCCTTCTTCAGCAGCAGCAGAGCCCCGGACACCACGCCGGTGTCGTAGCCGAAGAGGAAGCCGCCCAGCGCCGAGAAAGCCGCCGCCACGTAGACGAAAGGAGCCGGCTCGTCCTGCTGGAACTGACGCCTGGCCGCCCGCTCCAGATCCCCGCAGCCTCCGCCGCCTCCCGACGAAGAAGCCTGGCTGTTCAAGCTGGAGCAAGACTCGGCGGCCGCGATCAGGCTCCGCTCGCCCAAGGCTTCCCGCCTGGAGGGCGGCTGCGGAGGAGGCGGCGGCGGCGGCTGCCGGCGCCGCTTCTCCCCCATCAGGTTGCTCAGGCTCCGCAGCGTGTATTCCACATTGGCCTTGCGGGACATCGGGCCGCCGTTGCGGCTCCTGCTGCCCTCCGGCCGGGCTTGACTTCTTCCTCTTTCCTCCGCTGCTCGCCCGCTCAGCCGCCTTTCATGCTCCGGCCACGCTCGGACTGAACGCGAAGCGCCCCTCCGCCGCTCACCTCCGAGGGCGCCGCCCTCTCTTGTCCGACGGGGCGGAGCAGGGGGAAGAAAAAAGAGGCGCCGCGGGAGCTGATTGGTCGGGCTGCCCAGGGGCGTGTCCTAAGGAGGAGCCGCCAAGTGGGCGGGGCTTTTATCTCCTCCTCCTCCTCCTTTCCAGTTTGGGGGGGCAAAAAAATAACACCGGTGTCTCTCAATTGTGTGTCGACGGTGTTTTTATGCCTTGGGGCGTGCCTGTTGTTGTGGTTGTGGTTGTGGCTCAATTCTTTCGGATCTCGCCCGAGAGAGGGTGTGAGGGGCAGCGACTAAATTGTAGCGGAGGATCAATAACAAGGAGGGGAATAATAATAAGAAAAATTCTGCACGTTTCGTCTCTCTATGGAAACAGGAATGGGCATGCGCGGTGAGCGCCGGTGAAGCTGGTGGGCGGGCTTCGCTTGCCAGCCCTGCCCTTTTCTGCCTGCACAGATTTCTTCAGCGTGAATGAAGAAGTGATTGAAGTTTACAGTGACTGAAAATTAAGCAAAAGTCAAAAATAAATTCTAAAATTCCTTTTAATGAATAAAACGACAGTCCAGTGACACCTGAGCATTCTGATTTGGAAATCTGAATTTATTTATTTTTTTAAAATTAACTGTAGGAAGTTAAAACCCACCACTCTGCTAGAAAAATGAAATATCCTGGGAAATGTTAAGAAGGCAGAATATTATATTTCCCTGGATAAGAAATGGNCATAACAAAATTCTTTCTAGAAAGCCAAGGTCATCCTGTATCTCTACACCTGGCCGGAAGTGGATGGGTGGAAGCTGCCAGCATGGCAGTGAAAGATTGGACCATGTGATGGACTTATGGGTGTAGGGGCAGGATCTTAAACTTTCAACTGGGTGGGAAAACCTGGGAGCTTTCAGATTCGGGTTTCCCCAGATGTATCAACATGGCTCTCTTAATAAATTGGAACTTTGAGGAATCCTTTGCCTCTGACTCTAATTTACTTTGGATGTAAAAGTAATCTAAGAAGCTTCCTGAATGAGAAGTGAAACGTCTTCAAAGAAAAACCAGAAAGCCCAGTTGCGTCTTGAAAAAAGCATCTATAAGACTTCCAAAGAGCAAGGACCATGACAGAAAAGACATTCTTCTTGACTCCCACCATGGCAACCAAGCTAAACTAAGTGAATGGGAGAAAGATCTCTGCATTCCACTGGAGCGTAGCCCTTGGCATACAATTCAAAGCCTGGCGTGTCCCTCAATCTGACTGAAGTTGTTCATTCCTGACCTAACTCAATCATCCCCCAATTTATTCTCAGTAAAATAGAAGGAGGGCTGGATCCTTGAGAGGCTTCCATTCTATCTCTTTGCATGGCTTTCAAATAATTCCACACTTGCAGGATCTCATATCTTCATCTGTGGTTAGCAGTTGATAACATTTATTTCTAGCCCAGTTTGCAGTATAGCTAAAATTGAAAAAAAAAGTTATTCCATCTGTTCTCTTACTGTTGGAACACTTTCCTTAACCAGATTCTTGATTCCCTGGCTTCTAACATTCGTTTCTTTCCTCTATCTCCACTTCTTGCAGATCAGAGGTGGTATTCAGCAGGTTCTGACCAGTTCTGGAGAACCAGTAAGAGAAATTTTGAGCAGTTTGGAGATCTGGGAAATACCACCGCTCACTGGCCCCACCCCCATCTATTCTCTGCCTCCCAAGTCCCAGCTGATTGGGAGGAAATGGAGATTTTACAGCATCCTTCCCCTGCCATGCCCACCAAGCCACGCCCATCAAGCCACGCCATGCCCACCAAGCCACGCCCATGTAAGTGGTAGTAAAAAAAAATGAATCCCACTACTGTTGCAGATGTATAGAGCTTCAGAATCCCATTCGTAGATGGTCTCTCCACCTAAACTATTTCAGACTGCACAACAATATGCAGCCAGAGTTGCAAAAATGCTAATCTGGATTCCTATCACTATTAAAATTTGCATGTGCCACAGAGACATGGTCTCTTTACAGTCAGGAAAGTTCTTGTAACAATCATTCAGAATTTGACTTTGGTTTTGCAAATGGTCAAAGGCACATAACATCTATTGAGAACATGGAGGGAGGTGACATTCACTCAGGGGTGGGATTCTACTGGTTTGAACTGGTTTGGGCAAACCGGTAGCTCCGACAATCAGCTGAGAGCGAACTGGTTCGCTCAGACGATCAGATGGGCCCGTCCACCCCTGCGCTATACTGACCTATATTTCCTTTTTTTTTTTAGCCCAGATGATAGGCGTGGCACAGCGGATTGCCGCTTCTCTACTGTTTTACTCACCGGGGCTGCAGTAGAAGGTAAATTTTTAAGCTTTGTTTAAACCCACTGTACGCGCACTCAGCGAACTAGTTGTTATACTGGTTGAATCCCACCACTGCATTTGCTGCTCAATTTCAATTTTGGTCGACTGATTATTTATATATTTGTATATTCACCTATTTATTCATTAATTCAGTTTACATGTTGTTCTGGCCCCACTCCATCCGGTAATGAACGCAGACACAGACTTAGCTGTTTGCCATTCTTTATTCACAGCAATTCTAATCCTGTTGGCTGAAAGCCCAGACATGACTCACTGGCAAGACGTTGGTAGCAACCCAGACTCCAACAGACATGGGAACACAAGGCAGACCAGAAAAGGAGTTCTCCAGATTATTACGAACAGTTGTGTCCTGCAAAAGACTCCTCCCAAAGTCTCTTCTTATATACTCTCTTGGGAGGG